GGAGGGACCACATGACCCCTCTCTCCTCTCATTTTAAGAGGTCATGTACAAAGGCAAGAAGCACTGCCTCCTTCAGGCCCTATAGCCCAAGGTCATGGGCAGAGCAAATACCACTACATTACTATAAAAAAAAACTATCCCAAAGTGAGAGGCTTGAACACCAGAAGTTTATCTCACAGTTCTATAGGCAAGAAGTTCAAGACCATGGTTTAAGGTAAGGCATTCCCCTCCATGGGTGCTAGGAGAAGCCCTGCCCCAAACTTCTCTCCAGCTGCTGGTAGTTTCCTGGCATTCCATGTCCTTTTCACACTAAACAAAAAGTCCAACCTAACCCAGTACCACTTCATCTTAAATAATTACATCTTCATATATACAATATGAAGATTGTATTCAGTTACTGAATTCAAAAATAACATCAATTGCTGAATTAAATAAATACAGTCCTATTTCTGAATAAAATAACATTCTTAGTCATGGGGGGGGGGCATTTACCTGCACTATCATGCCAGTAACAAGAAAGAAAATCACCATGGAGAAAAGGGGGTGATGAGGAAGGGGAAGGGGAAACTAGAAATAGGAGAAGAGGGAGATGGAGATTTAAATTCCATGGGGTCACCTGTTAATGAAAGGCAGAACTGACCTGGGCAGCTCGAAAGTAGCCAGGGGGCTCAGAAACATTACCCAAATTTCCTCTAATATTGCAAAAGAAGAAGAAACACTAAGTCTTCCAGAGCACTTAGCCATCAATTCACTCTGTGACCTGTCAATGCACTCACCTTCTTTAGGCTTCAGGTTGAGTGAGCAAACGTTGAAGACAAAGATACCCAACACAATAATTTGCTGTTCAACATTCACTTCAGCATTTAAGTATCCCAGTTCACGACTTATATAGTGTCTGCCATTCCACCATCTAGGAAATCTGTTCTTTTGCTTCATGACATAGTTGTTACGAATAAGCACAAAATAAATCTTTAAGTCATAGATACATGCACACAGAATCAATATTTATATGTATGCAATGTACTTTATATACCCATATATTACACAGTATACAGTATACATAATATATACAGTATGTGTCTGCATAAAAATAAAAATATGCATAAATCATTTTACCCATTTCTTTCAGTAATTAGAAAATTGATGTACACATAGCATCAGACTATAAAAGGGACTTGAAAAGCATACACCATGAAACCTTTGTTTCATGGAGAAAATTATTAAAATATATTCTAAAAAGTTACCTTTAGGCTATGTGTATATAGTATGGACAAAACTCCCAAACATAAATAAATGTACTTCCTCCTTAGACTCCAGCCCCACAAGGGAGACTTCATTATTTATATGCAAATATTCCATTCTAAAATCTGGTTCCAAGCCCTTTAGATAAGGGATATTTAACCTGTGATTGGTAGATCTCTATCTGAAGATTAAGCCTCTCTCCAAGAAGCCAGCACTTTCAATCCTCTATCATGGTGATTTTTGCCAGTATCTAAAACCTTCCCTGGATGAAATGCTGACAGCCTAGACAATGGGTACCGAAGATCTGAAGAAACCAGCTCCTTAAGCTTCTAGCAAATCAAACAAATGGAAATAATCATCAACAACAGCTTGTTTACTGATCACAGGGACAACTGGATGACAATCTGTTGCTGTCTACAAATACTTTTAGGTCCTTTGTCAAACAAAGTGAGTTTGTCTGCCAAATGACATCTCAATTTTCCAAGTTCATTAGCAGGTGATAAACAGAAAAGGTTACCTGGTGATTTCATAATTTGGAACTGACTCTTGACAAAGCCACTTAAAAAGGAAAAAGAAAAATCCAGTTGTCATAAAAAAACAGTAAAGAAATGCTAATCTAATTTGTGCACTAGTTCCAAGCAAACAAGGAGTAAATAGCTACAGACATGGTGTACAAAGTCTCATAACCAGAGCAGGTGAAGAAAGAAGTTAAACACAGAAGAGATTTTGCAAACTGTTTAAAATGTGCCCAGTTAGAAGACACAGGCAGTAATACATTGCCTGAAAACCAAGTCTAAAAGCTGCTTTATTATTTTTATTTTTTAATCTTATAGGCACCCAAAAATTTTTTTTAAATCATACAAGTCAGGTTCAGTAGGTAATGAGATGGTCTCCAGGGAGGCCCAATGTCTGGGAAGGCAGAGGAATCACTTGCTAGGGAATAGAGAGGGTAGACTTCTGGGTCCTAACAAGCCCCATGTTAGGAGACCACTTATCTACATTTTTCCTATTACATTCCTTTTATGATGCAAGAGAACACTAAGACTCAGATCCAAATGTATTAATTGAGCGATTCCCTCCCAATCATTCCCACTACAGGTATGGAAGTGATGTTCACTATTGCCCCTATTGTTTCCCCTCACCCTCCCCTTATCTCCACCCTACACCAACTCCCACCCCCACCTCACCAAAGAAGATTTCTCTTTTCAGGAATTCTTTGTATTTCTTTGTGGTCACAGCCCTTGGCATTCAGTCTCAGACTGGGCCCCAGCCCAGAGAGGCTACCTGGGAATGACAATGGAAAAATAGAGAAGAATTACAAAGAGGCTGAGGGTCTGACTCTTTCCTACTGTCTCAGAGGGTATCAGAGCATCTTGTTCCTTCTAGATCCTTATCTCCTCTATCAGTTTAACATCATCCTCTAGGTAAGCTCAATTCCCATATTATGAACCTCCAGTACCAAAGACTTCTCCTCCTACATCACAACTTGACCTTTTCCATTGCATTATCCATCTCTCATCCATTTTCGTTTCTACAGGGTGAATCAGCAGGATAGGGATAGCTGCCTTCTATGTCACAGGAACAAATGGTATACTTTATTTTCCATTACTGGTATCTTTGGTTAGATTTTAAACAGGAATTACAGAAGATCTTTAAAACTTCTAATTTACTGGTCAACCTAATCAAGACACTGGAAAAATTCTAGAGAAGCAAGGATAAGAAGTGGTTTGACTGATGACCTTAATCCTACCAGTGACCTTAATCCCAGCAAGACACTGAGCATGCTAGCTTCCTGGTTCCCACACTTTCCATGAAGACAGGTTAAGCTGACAAGCAAAAACATTTTTCTTGAATGTTTTTTCAGTTTTAGACATTCAAGTTTCTGCTTTGACCCAGCTATAAAATAATGAACATTTTAAAACTACATAAGAATAATTATGAATAATGTCTTTCATCTAAATTGCTTTCCAGATTAACTCCGAGCTTTTTCCAGACTTGAAGGAAGACTGCTTCCTCTCTGAAGTCTTTCCACATTGTATGCAGCTCACTCCATCAGAAGAAAAACAGATACTTCATTTTCAAAAAATTTTCATATCTTGCTGGGCAATGTGACACACACCTTTAATTCCAGCACTTGGGAGGCAGAGGTAGGAAGATCTCAGTGAGTTCAAAGCCACCCTGGTCTATATAGGAAGTTCCAAGACAGTGAGGACTATACAGAAAGACTCCGTCTCACAAAACCCAAAGCGAGAGGAAAGAAAAATCTTCATATCTCTAAGCAAAAGTCTCAACAAGAAAGTGACTCTCCCTTATCACACCTTGCAATTGCAACTTGCACCACTGTGCAGTGGAGACTAAGAACTATCAGCTCTGGGCTGGCAGCAATGTCTAGCTAGCTTTTGCAGTGAGGGGATAGTTTGTTTAATTTCCTTATATTTATATTTATGGAGAGTGGTGTCAATGTCTAAGCACCATAAATATATTTAAGCAAATAAGAGGTCTTACGAGGATGTAGCCAAAGCCAAACACTAACAGAAAAGATTTAGAAGTTGTGGAAACTGCTGGGCTGTACAGCCACAGAAGGCAAGAAGAAGCTAGCTAGTTACTGGCTGTGTCCTCTGCATCTGCCTCCAAACTTAGTAAAGCACCTAGAAATATAACAACCACAGTATTTCAAAATGTTCCTGCCATACCAACTGGAAATGCACTTGCCACCATGTGCAGAAATGCATATGCCACAGCACCTGCAAATGCACCTGCCATAGCACTGCAATGTGCCTCCCTCAGCATCCAGGCACACACCTGCCATGACACTGGTTACTATTTGCAGAATAAAACTGTCTTCAACTGCATCATGCAAGGGCATAGAATTTAAACCAAGTCTTTTCACTCTACATCCAATACATTTTCAACTCCAGTGCATGACACTCAGCAGACTCAAAAGCCAGTAAGTGTCTGTTAAGGGAATAAAAAGACATCTAAAATGGTTCCTTTCCTTGCATTTGTAACTCAACAGAAAGACTTAACAATTCATACCACCTAGAGATTTCCATCCATCTTTTTGCCTTCAAATATATGATGAAAGACCAAGTTACACCTCTCTGAAACTCAACTCAAGTTTAAGTTTATCCAGCCTGTCACCAAGAAGTTTTTAAACTCCACATTCTGAGCATCCAATAATCTTCCATGCCAACTTCTCAAGTTCAGCAAAATGTAAGGTATAACTGATATGTGTTTCAGTTTCAGAACAATACTAATCCAGAATGTTTATTTAGATAACTTCTGAAGTTTCAACACCCCTCTCCCCTCAAAATGCCCACAGGCACATATTTCAAAGTAAACACCAAGAAAATCTACCCAAAACAAATGCAGAAACTTTTCACTTTATATGCTATAAACAAAATTTCCTTAAGAGAACATCAAGAATGCAAACCTTATTATATAACTTATATTAGCTAGTAAGAATTTTAAGTGAGAAAAGAACTCTTTTTTTTTTTCTAGGAGAAAATGAGAAACACTCATGATTGATGAGATAAATAAGTGAAATAAAAACATCTATGTGACATGCATGGAAAAGGCTGCAGCCACATTCAAATCTTCACCACGCAATTTAGGCAGGTGAGAGTCAATGTGACAGGACCAAAGCAGCTAAAAACAAAAAACAACAGTGAGAAGCAGGCCTGAGAATGAGGAAGTATGATGTTGTGGCCTTGAATCCTAGAAGTAAACTCCCCCTTGACACATCAGTGACTTCTGTATGACACAAAGGGAAAGTGAGTCATGTTATAGAAAGCTTAAATGATATTCACCCTTTTCTGCTGGAGAAAGGAAAGAAACACTGTAGCAGGAATCTTAGAAGTTCTTATTAATAAAATCAAACCTGTGAGCCAGGTATTGGGATGAAGCTGGAAGATCAGAGATACAGAACAAGCCACAGCTACCTCACCTCGCCGGATCCTCAGCTGGTCTTGTCTCCTCAGACTGGAGGCCTCTGAGTCCTCATCCAGAATGGGTGTCAGCTGAATTATGCTGCTCCAAAGCCTAAATGCTTAACCAGCCAAATGCTTAACCAGGCCAAATGCTTCTAGTTTCTGGTCCTCACGCCTTATACACCCTTCTGCTTTCTACCATCACTCCCTGGGATTAAAGGCTGGCTTTCTGGGATTAAAGGCGTGAGTCACCATGCTTGGCTGCATCCTTGAACTCATGGATTTCTGACTCTGGAATGCTAGGATTAAAGGCGTGAGTGCCACCATTTTCTAGCCTCTGTATCTAGTGGCTGTCTGTTCTCTGACCCCAGATAAATTTATTAGGGTACACAATATTTTGGGGAATACAATACCACCACAAAATACTACTTTGGAAACTTTTCTACAACATCATTTGGTTTTATTTTGTTCCTGGAAATTTTGCAGCTAAGAGGGAAAGGAATCCTTTTGATCTTGATACTTTCTCTGCATGATTATTTCACTGCTAGTACCTTAGTACTGGGTGACCATGTGACTGTGCATTCTGTAGAAAAGTATCTGGGGAAAGTGCTGCAGCGTAATACAATTACAAGAAAATCCTTCAGCTTTTGTGGCCAGCAAGCCAAAGGTTCATTATAAGAATCAGTCCTCCACCAGTCACTGTCCTTCAGGGCTACCAAAGCTGCAACACTGATTACTACTAACAACTACCATTATCTTTCGTGGAAAAATACGACCTTACTTGTGTCTAAGGTAAAGAATATATATGTATCTTTCTTGTTCCATGCCTACTACACTCTAAGACAGGCTCTTAATATGTCACCTCATTTATTCATCACCTCAATATCAATAGGCAGGCTTGATTACCTGACTGAAGGGGAGCTGCCTACTATAGTTTGAAAGTCTAAACTCCTGTTGAAACTTAATGGCCGCTGTAGTAGAATTCAGTTGCCAGGCGCTCTACTTGTCTTTCTGTATACTACAAATATGTGTTGCTCTGATTGGTTAATAAATAAACCTGCATTGGCCTATGGCAGGGCAGGATGGAGCCAGGTGGGAAAATCAAAAGAGATAGTGAGAGAAGAGAGAGTGGGGAGAGACACCAAACCGCCATCCAAGGAGCAACATGTAATGGGACGCAGGTAAAGCCACGGAACATGTGGCGATATGTTGCTGGAGGGCTTCTCTCCAGGTTCCACCAAGCCCCGCAGTCCTACAATCCACATATAAAATAATCACTCAAACACTTATATTACTTATAAACTGTATGGCCATGGCAGGCTTCTTGTTAACTGTTCTTATATCTTAAATTAACCCAATTCTATAAATCTATACCTTGCCACGTCGCTTGTGCTTACCGGCGTCTTTACATGTTGCTTCTCCTGGCAGTGGCTACAGTGTCTCTCCCTTCTTCTTCCTGTTTCCCCAATTCTCCTCTCTCCTTGTCCCGCCTATACTTCCTGTCTGGTCACTGGCCATCAGTGTTTTATTTATATAGAGCGATATCCACAGCAGCGATACACAGATAATAGTAATGGGTTGAGTTAAGTTATAAGAGCTGGCTAGCAAGAAGCCTGAGCCATAGTCCATAATTCACAATTAATACTATGCCCTGGAATGATTATTTTATAAGTGGCTGCAGACCGCAGGACTGAGTGGGACCAGGGAAACACTGGACCACAGGACTGGGTGGGACTGGAGAAACTTACAGCTACAACAGCCTCACTATCCCTTCCCTAAGTAATATTTTTGAGTTCTTAGGAAAAAGAAGGTATAATTCCTTTTCTCCAAGATATTCAAGAACTTTTCTAAAACTCCACCCATAAGGAAAAAGGAGAAAGACAGGGGAGACAACTCAGTTTGTACAGTGCTTACCTCACAAGCATGATGAGCCTAATTTGGATCCCTAGTACCCAAATAATGAAAAGGAGAAGGAGGTGGTAGTGTTGATGGTAATAGTTGGGAATCCTAGCTTATGACTTTTGTAATCACAGTACTAGGAGGCAGAGGCAGGTGGATCTAAGTAGCTTACTAATAAATCCATCTAGCTGAATTGGCAAGATCCAGGTCTAGTGACAGAATTTGCTGGAAGGGGAAAGGGACAACCACAGAGAGAAGAAGGGAAAGAAGAGGAAAGGAGAAGGGGAGTGGGAAGGAAGTAGGGAAAAGCTTGGAGAAACAATGACAAAACATCCCGCCTAAGCCAAGTACAGTCTCCTTTAATAACCATGAACAGCTTGGCACCAAAAGAACCCAAGATGTTTAAGGTGGCCTGAGAAGACTGAAATCATTGTTCAGCGATGGATCATGCTACTT